GTTTTTTTTTTTTCCTTCTTTTCAGTGGATTTAATTCAGAAGATTTAAGTTATGGGTTTTTTTTTTTTTTTTTCTTTTTTATTTTGAGGAGGGGCAGTGTACAAAATGTAAGCTTTCTTCACTCAACTGAACAACTAAAACTCTTTACCAGGAAAACTTCTTGACAAGATAGCTTCTTGTATTAGACATTATTCTTTTTTTTTCCCCAGATTTTTTTGGGGGTGTAAAATGAGCTTAAATATAAGTAGATATTTAAATTGCTGTGTTGAGGATGGCAGTCTGTTTTGTAGTTCCATTGCTTCAAGCCTTCTCTAAATGTATAGCACGGTCTTGTAGGCAAGTAACTGCCTTTTTATTGCCAAAATATGCTTAGCACTTTCTGAGCAAGGATGTCTTCCAGTTTCAAAGACCACATCCTGTAAACACTTCTTTCAGTTCTGAAATCAGAATGTAAAACATGAACTGCTGACATATCACTGCCTGGACCCAAACTGTTTACTGGTCGGTTGTAGCTTCTCCTGGCTGCCTGAAGTATCTGCAACACTGAGATATTTGCTGTGGTTAGAAAATGCCCTTAAAATTACTTGTTGTTAATTTTTTTTTCTCCTTGTCTTTCAAAACTGCTATGAATCCAAGGCTGATTAAATCATTAGATTATAAGAAGTCAAAATTTATAAACTGTCAGACTATGTTGTCTTCTAAGGTTGTACTAAACCATCATATTTTACTATGTGATTGTGCTGCTGTGAGCACTAAATTATTTTTGCAGATGTAATGACCTTTCCTTCTCTTTCAAGCTATTTTTTTTTATAAATAATTAAAATATTTGCTTTGAAGGAATTTTAATTGAGAATTTTTGTGACCGAAAGGCTTAACTGCTCCATCTCTTCCAACAGTAAGCACTAAGTTGCACATTCCCTTATTTCTGTGCAGGTTGTTTGCTTCAGCAGTAGAGGGTTTGTACTCTTTACAGGGTCTGTAAGTATGAGTGGATCAAGCTAATTTTATTAAAAAAAAAAAAAAAGGAACTTACAGTATTTTGTAGAATCATTTTTTGAGTTAGTTTGCTAATGTTGTTAGTGGGACTCACTCCCTGGGGGACTGAAGGTGTAACAAAGTTTGGGGCCTTGGGATTGGGTCAGTAGAAGGCCCTGCGTTCTCCAAACTCTGCAGCCTTCTGGGAAGGCTGCAGCCCTGGTTGAAGGTGCCCCGTGGCTCCAGAGCGTGCCCGTGTAGGTGGTACTGGCTCTGCTGGGCCATCTTCCCCCGAGAGCTGCATGTAACAGTCCATCTGATCCTTCTCCTGTCTCTTCCTCTTTCCCCAAAGAGCAAAGCCGAAGAGAGGAGGTGGCAGTAGTTGGTGTAAGCACTGTAGATAGAAACACTAAAATGTGTGAAATTGAACTTTGTTTAAAAAAACCCTCCATCTTGACAAACTTTTTTATAGGTCCTTTTTTGTGGTCCTTTTTCTTATAGAATTGTGCTTGTCTGTCTTTCTGGATACATGTACTTAGCTAATGCCTAGGTGATAGTCTTTCAGGTACTAATCTGTGCAGTTTTTCTTGTTCATGTAGTTCTCCAGTGTGTGTTTGTGTGTCCCTGGCTGGTGTAGCGAGGGGCTGGTGACTGCAGCACTAGGGGAGGCTACCATGGGTTGGAGCCCTGCGAGGGGCAGCTGCGAGATGGGACACGTGCTCTGGAGGAGCTGCATGGCCAGCACAGTCCACCTCCTGCCTGTAAGGGTGCTGCTTGGATCTCTAACCCAAGTGCAAGTTTAACCTTCTGTGGAAGACAGCAATACAGAGGGAGAAAAAAAAAATGCATTTTATTCCTGTCAGTTTTGAGCCAGGAAAGCTGTTTCTGTCTTTACATCATAGAGCAGCAGTTCCTAAATGGAGCGTATATGAATGTAGCTGCTAGCCAGATATAAACTTGAGTTAGGTACTTACGTTAGTATTTCTAGTCATACAACATTTTTGGCTGTGGGTAGGAGAGCAGTAGGAAAATTTCAGAAGGAAAGTTCCAGAGACATTGCCATCAGGAGCAGCAACCCACGCTGCTCACGCTCAGCGATCCCGGGGAGCTGCAGCGCGGTCATGGAGCCTGGCATCGCTGAGCGGCTCTAGCCCGGCCACGGCGGCCTCGCCAGCTGATGCCGGAGCCTCTCTGGGCATGGTAGCTGAGATGTGAAGCAGCTGTTAAGCAGTTATGGTAGTATAGGAATCTAGGGCTTGCTAAGTCGCCAAGGGTTCTGGAATTGGCAAAAACAGATACCTGAACTGTCTTTCTTTTGCTTTTTACTCTAATAAACCCTAAATATTCCCTGTTTTGCACCTGTATATGGAATGACATGTGAAAAACATACATGAGTTTGAATCTGTTATCCTGAAGAACCTTCATGTTATTTTTGAAAAAGATTTTGGATAGCAGCTGGCCTGGATATGTGTTACACACAATTCTGCCCTTTTTCTCCTCCCCCACCCCCCCTTCCCTCTGCTGTGGGATGTTTGCTGTTTTGAAAGCAGATGACAAAACCATCCTTCTGTAATTCATCATGCTCTCTTTCACTTATGTTTTGTCACCTTATTTGAACTGGCCCCAACACATGTCATCAAGATGAGGTTATGGGTGTGTTCTGTATACATCTTGGACTTACTCTATTATTCCAGCATGCTAGCCAGGACCACATAATAAAACTGTTGTATCCTCAACTTATAGACTATATAGCAATACTCCACAAAAGCTCTCCAGGCAGAATTAACTTCTCAGAAATAGATCCAAGTACTTGTAAGCAACTGTCTCTGCTCTTGCCAATGGCTGAGGCTGCAGACTTTCAATACAATCTCATGTTAAGCTAAATGAAAGGCAGGTGGCAGGTCCAATTAAAATAATTGCAGCTTTTTAGAAACCTCATCTGTTGCTAGGAGTTGTATTTCCCCGTGAGGGCTGTGGGAGTATTTGTGACACGGTGTGGGTGGTATACATTATCTTTCAGACTATAGGTTCTGCTGTTCACTAGAATAGCAGTGCTGTGAGAAGTTATGTAGTTTAGGTCCTGCATATCTTACTGCATTGTTTTTTTTAACCTTGGACATTAAATTTCTCTTTCATTTGTATGGATGGAACTGGTTTGAGCTCGGACTTATTAACAATCCTTATCATTTGTGTTTAGATGGTGCAGAAAGATCAAATGATAATATTTCAGCATTTTGGCACAATGGTGTTTTTATCATTTTGAAATTTGTGAAAAGCAAAAGTGGATAATTGTAGAATTCTTGTTTCTTGTGATGATAAGTTATATAGTACAAGTTATGTGTGTGTTCAATTTTGCAAAGTTCATATGTGACCTTTAAAATGTCTTAAGTTGTAGACCCTTCATGCCCATTGTTTTGAAAACTTTTTTTTTTTTTGTACTTATTTTTCACAGTTCCATGTGGATGGTTTAAATAACTGCCTCCTGCATCCTGGTGATTCTGTGGTCCAAGTTCAGAAACTGGTTCAAACTCCTATGCTGTGAATTGGAAGAAGCGCAGAGATTCGGGTAAGTGACTGTCCACATATGTTGGAGAGGGTAAAGGGAAGGATATGTCTTAAGTGCATTTATTGTTGTTGATGTTTGTTGTTGTCTCAGTTACTCTTCAGTGTACTAATAGATAATCTTCTATTCCCTTTATATGCAAGAACATATAAATAAGAACTTTCATTGCTGAATATGTATTAAAAAAAAATCAAGAAGCTTGTAGGACAGGTGTGAAAGAGCTGCTGATTGTGGCTACATGCAGGGAGAATGTACCAGGACAAGTCACTGTGGTTTGCCATTTATATTGTATCGAAATATGCACTTACTCAAGGACAAGCTCCACAGGTGGATCACAAAATGTGTGCTGTGTATCTGATTTTAACGCATTCTTATTGTTCTGGACAGGCAATCCGTCTGCCATTGTTTCTGGTACAATTTTCTGCATTGTTTACTTGGAAAGTTACATAATATGCTTAGGACAGTATGTTCAGGTGGTTCTGCACGCTCACAAAAAAAAAAAAAAAGGCAAAACCAAACTGCAAATCATTTCAAACAAATATTTCTACCTTGGATAAGCAAGTTAAATGCTGTTGTTGTATTCAGAGAGACATTAATATGAGTGCTCTTTTACCAGATACAAGCACAAGTTACTTTCTTGTTTTTGTCTACTTGTTACATATAAATAATGTTGAATAGTGATAGGGCAGTTTTTTTTGAGGTGAGGCTAAACTTTGTGTGTTAAATTTATTTATTTTTAAATCTCATAATTCGGCAGCAGATGCACTTAGTTGCTTCTTCCAATGAATTAGTGGGATGACATAACGAGAATGATGTGGAGTTTTTTGTTAAATATCAGTGTATGCCTAGTTGAAGTGCTGAGGAGGGAAAACAAACAAAAAAAACTTTAATAGATCATAGTACACTTCAATCTTAATATATTGGACTAAGAATCATTGTACTAGTCCTTATTAGGACTACTGGACAAACACATTTTTTTCACCTTATTCTCTTCTTACTCTGATGCATCAGTGTAGAGAAAATAGTCACAAATGTTTGTAGTTATGCACTGAACATCCTTGACTTCATGTGTGGGAATATATTTTAATAGCAAAGTACTGTTGCAAATGCTTAATAGCATTGTAGAAACGGTGCCTTTGGAAATGCAGGTGAAATATGACATTTAAACTTCAAATCATTTTGTGAATGGTGCTGGGGAAAGTGATTTAGAGGGAAAAAAGGATAGTAAAGAGAAAAGGTAGTTTTGAGAATCAAATTTTGTCCTTTTGAGTTTATAAAAATATTGAAAAATATTCTGTATGAGTACTTCAGCTTATCTATTTCTGTGTAATCAAGGATCTATAGAAGCACTACAGCGTCATTTTTGTCTGTTACATTGCTGAGGTTTCTTTCACTGCTTTCTGAAGAGCGAGTGCTACTGCAAAACAGTCACAGGAGAGATGCAGTTTTGTGATTTGAATAGGCTGAGACTTTTAATAAGCTATGATTTCTGTATTTGCTAATATACAAGGGAGTAAGAAAGCAGGGAGTTAAGCAGCAGTGCACAGTTTTGATTTATATGTGCTTCTTTTTGTTGCTGTTACACTATTCATGTTGTTCAGTAACTTTCCTTAATGGGCATAACAAAGTAGACTAATGTTAAAACATCTGTAAGAATAATTCTATTTTGAATTGGACTCTTATAATCCTAGCTGCATTGTAAATCTGCTTATTTTGGTTGAAATGCTTGTTAAAATCTGCTTATGGTAATTCAAATGGAATGGTTAATCTATAGTGTATTCTTAGTTGCTTTGCAACTAAGGCCTATGTGTAGCTAATGATGACTTTGCAATAGGTTGGTGATTGCAAACGTATTGAAGAGTGGAATTGTACAGCATAATGTGGTGAAGTATTTATTGTATTGCGAGAGACATAAATGGTGCTTGTTTTGCCTCTGGTCCTCTTGGCCAGAGGTTTATTGATGCCAATTGAGTATATGTTCTCCGGACTCTTCTCAAAGTTCTGAAATGGAGAGGTTTCTGGAAAAGATGCCGTACCTTGGCATGGTGCTAAATCCCTAGTTTGCACACTGCTAAATGACAAGGTTCAGAATGAAGATAATGTATTAATATGTATATTATAATATATTAATGTCTAATATATTATCATTATATATATTTGGTCTTCTAACTACGTTTTATTTAAGGGTGCAATTTTTGAATTTAATTAGAGTAAGTTAAGGAAAATCCTGTTCTACTGCCTTTCTGTAAAGACTTCCATCTGAATAAATAAGTGAAAGGTTGTCTAGAGAGGAGCTCTCTCTCTATCCCATCCCTTCAGTATTTTGGTGACTTGATTCTGAATTTTGGGGCATGTTCCAAGCTTCTTTATGTAAGCTTTGGTCTGCGTATTTACTCTGTGAGCCCTCTTGACTTGCTGATTCATTTGTCCTTGTCGCAGTAAAAGCTGGCCCTGTTCTCTTCCTTCCTAGTTCTATAGACAAGTTTTGGCATGAGGTGCCGGCTTGCACCGATCTCGGATGGTTGAGTTATGAAGGGTGATGAGGTCTGTGCAAGGCTTGTTTTATCTGGGAAATCTGTACCAGGAGCTCTGTCTTTCTGTCAGCTTGGTGTCTGTCCTCTGTAATGCAGAGGGGATATCTGGATAGGTAGGTAAAACAGTTCTAACCTTCACGGACGTTGAACACTAAAAAATTTGTACACTGCTTTGTTATTTCAGTTCAAGGCTTTGTGAGGGACAGTAGTTAGTTACTTAAAAATGTGGGTGCTGCTTAAGAGAGCCTGTCTTTAACAAGATTAGGTTATCAGAGGGTTGTCTTGTGTGATAAGCTTTCTGGTTGAGACATGGCCAGAAGTGGATGCTTAAGGGATAACCACATTCATTCTGACTATATCTAGGCAAATTTGTTTAATTATGTGCAAAGACTAGGAATTAGGAAGCTAACTTTTGCACTGTAAGCAAATTTTGGATGCTATTTCTCAATTCAGCAGCTAGCAGATAAAAAACATTTATTATACAAAGTTATAAATATGCATGGTGGTGTTTCAGAGAGGAAGTATGGAGAGAACTTACGTCCAACTTATTTAAATAGTATGACACATTCAGACTTCCTTCTCCGCTATTCCAGCTACTTTGCTCAGTGGAGATGGAGAATTAAATTTGAACAAGCAAATGTCCTCTTGGTAGTTGTCTCAGGACAACTACCAAGGCCTGACTGTATTTTAGATTTGTGTGTGCATATTTCTTCAGATGTAGCTTCTCTGTCATCACAGAAGTTGAGTGTTTCCTCCTCTCTTTGGGTGTTTTTGACAGAATTTTTTTATTGTAATATGGCATAATTTTTTTCTTGCTAAAGGAAGAAATGACGATGGGGCAAAAACATCTAGTGAAGTGCACAACTTTAGCATAGCTAAGGGAGGATGTAGGGAATATGCTGCGGTGTGTGGGGGTTTTTTTTTTTTTTTTTCCTGCCAAAGTTTTTTCTTCATTTATGAGGTAAGACTAGATTTTTTTCTTGCATTATGTCTGGAGGGTTGCACAACACCAGTGTGGAGAGATGGAGAGACAGATGTCCTAGAAAACTTGATCAGTATGAGAAATACTGCCCATCACTGAGGAAGAGTGGAAGGTGAAGCAGGCTAGTTTGCAGCTAGGTATTTTGCAGTCAGTTCGATTGTCATGCACAGAAAGAATGAAGAATAAACTGCCTTTCCTCCATAGGGAAGAGGTAGTACAGGAAATATGCTCTTCATGTAGGAACATCTAATTATGGCCAGCTTGTTAGCTGCAAATTTCAGAGAGTCATCGAATGGAGAATGCCTTTAAGTCCAAGCTGCATGGCTGTTAAGTGTGTCCTTTTGTATTTCCGTATTCAGTAGCTTGTTTCCAAAACAGCAAAGAGGATCCAGGAGGTCTTCAGACATTCCTCCTACCAGTGAGCCAGTCAAGACAACCGAAGGGGATCTCCTAAGTGAGTGCGCTGATTAAATGGGTGATGCAAAAGTGAAGAGCAGTGATTTTATAAAATCTGAGCTTCTTTGGGGGCAAAAAGATGGTAGATTTCTGTAAGAAAAGTGAGGAAAACTGATGTAAATATTGATTACAGAGGATAAGCAAATAGAGTAAAGCATGTACAGAAAAGAAAAACAAGGAAAGTGTTAGGTACTCAGTGGTATTTTATTGTTTTTATTATTATTATTATTATCTTATTTGTTTGCTTAAAAGCATAAGCTTGCTCTGTTCATTATCACTTGTCCTTGGTAAGGAAGAATTATGTAATTAGATGGCTAAAATAGCTGACTGTACATTCCAAAGGACCAAATAAGGGAAACAGTATTATTTTGGTTAAACAACTTTACCTGTTTTTAACCTTAAAAATTAACTACCTTTAAAGAGCATGTTAATGCTTGTTAATCAAAAAGCATTTTTAAAGAGCATGTTAATGCTTGTTAATCAGTATTCTCTCAGGTAAGCTGCAGAATTAAAAATAAAACATGTAGTTACTGAAAGCTTCTCTCAGGTAAGCTACAGAATAAAAATAAAATACATAGTTACTGAAAGCAAATAAATAGCTAGCTACTGCAAGTCACCAGTTGCGTTCAGGGTGAGGAGCTCCGTTTTTTTGTGTGTGTGTGTAAATGGTCTTACGCTGTTAATACTGAAATGGTCATAGAGGCTGGCGGGTACAATCTTCTTAGAAGCCAGTGTGGAATGGTTCAGAATAACATCTGCCCTCAAAGGTGCCAAGTGAATGAGTACATAATTTCAAATGTCTCTGCTTGATAGTGATAAATACTGATTTTACATAGCAAATGTAGGGATAAATTTTGATTTTACCTAGTAAATATAAAGTTTAATAAGTAGCATTTATTTGCCACTTGAAATCCATTCAGCTAATAAAAAAACTCGTGCCAATCCTTTTTCTCCTTCAGTTTTAAATGGAAGTCAGTTAAGGATATTTTATTAGATGCTTAGAAAGCCACAATTTGAAGTAAGGTAGGAGT